TCTCCCTCTCCCTCTCTCTCTCTCTTTCTCTCTTCCCTCTCTCTCTCTTTCATGGGAAGAGGAGGGAGGGGGGGAGAATAGGGAAGGACAGGCAGAGGAAAATCTGACATTCTACTCAAATTTCTAGGAGCATTTTTAAAAATTTACACAGTGGACAATTTTTCCCCTAAAGGTAACATAGTAACAATGATGTAAGACATGTAAAACATATGTATTAGGTGTGGGTTATATAAGTCGGCAAATGACATAAGTGAGATGATGTGAGCTCTCCCAGTACCTGCCAACGTAAGCAAATTTTCCTAAGTTTGGGATAACAGTGATAATTCGACGTATTTTCTATACTTTATCATCAGTATCACATTCCAATGTAATTATGTGGGTTGTTTTATTGATATTCTATTACTAACAAGACTTTTTGTGCCGTGAGAACTTCGTCCGGCTCCCTAACCTACGTCGCTCGGTTTGTAATCCTTAAATCGGCAATTTTTGGATACATTTAAGAATGAAATGCCGTCTACTACACTGCCAAATACGCTAGATACATTATGACACTTATATTGATATAAATAAACACATATACAGATATATTAGCATACATACTTATATATACACACATGCACATACACATATTTATATAAACAGATGTATTGATATATTTACACATACATATATGCATATGTACATGTATATATACATTTGTATATGTATATATACATGTATGTGTATGTGCATGTGCGTGTATGTGTATGTGTATGTTATGTGTATGTGTATGTGCATGTGTATGTGCATGTGTATGTCGTGTATGTGTGTGAATGTGTGCGTGAATGTGGTGCGTGAATGTGTGCGTGCATGTGTGCTGCGTGCATGTGTGCTGCGTGCATGTGTGCTGCGTGCATGTGTGCGTGTCTGTGTGTATTGATTAGATAGATATAGATATAGATATATAGATAGATAGATAGATAGATATAGATAGATAGATAGATGATAGATAGATAGATAGATAGATAGATAGATAGATAGATAGATATAGATAGATAGATACACAATAATACATGCATACATACACAAATGTGTATATATACATATGTCCACGCATACACACATAAACATACACACACACACACACACATGTATATGTATATATAATATATATATTATATAATATATATATATATACGTACATAAATACATGTATATACATACATATATATACATACATATATATATATACATTATATATACATATATACATATATACATATATACATACATATATACATATATACATATATATATACATTACATATATACATATTATACATATATATATATATATATACATATATTTATACACATATATACACATATATATATACACATTATATATACACAGATATATATATACATAATATATATATACATATATATACAACATATATATATAAATATGCATACATACATACATATACATATATGCATATATAGGCCTACACACACACGTGCGCGCGCTTACCCCCCCCCCCCCCGCTAGCGTACATTGTGGTGAGTTTATTCCAGCTTGCAAATAACAATTCAAATGCGTAAGTGACAGAGAAGAAAATACTGACATATAAAAATTTGTATCCAGTATGCTTAATTGAAATAATATTTTATAAGAGAGAAGTGACGTGTCAAAAAACACTTCAAAACCTTAAGCGAAGTTAACAGCTCAACAGCTCATTTTAACAACGATTTTCACCTATACACAAAGCTAACAAGTATTTACTCCAAACGTGCAGTATCACTTTTACCTGTACAGTGACGGACAAAAATCATGAACTGAAGCTTCGAACCTGCCTCACCCTGTACAAAAAGTGTGGTATTAAGCGAACAAAATTCGAAATACGTTTTGACAAGAGTTCTGACCGTTACCGAACACTAAACACATCCGCTGCGCCACACAAACGCTCATTAAAACAAACAAGGCATTAACCGACAAACACTTCAAAATAATACCTTTAGAATGTCTTCTCTCTGTAGGAACAACACAGCGTGGAGTGTCCCAAAGCCCAAAGTTCAAGTCTGTGGGGGTGTTTGTGCGCCTGTAGAAGACCTGTAAATGAACCCAGGTCTCGTGTGCGCCGTCTTATGAACGCTTGCAAAACTCACGTACAGACGCACAGAGACGGCGCGCATTCTGCCTCGCGCGAAAATTGATTCAATTCTTTTTTTTCTTCTCTCTCTCTCAAACTCTATATTGCCCTCTACGAGTTTATAAAAATAATAATAACGTGACTACGAACCATATTCTCTCCATATTCGTTAATAGATACGGATGTATATCAGTTAATTAGGTTGGAGTAATTATCGTCCTGTGTTTTATAACGAGGGTGTGTCCGATGATTGTATAATGAATTGTCTGGCGTTGTAGTGGAAAGGGCAACTCTTAACGAGACATATAGACCATTAGACAAAAGGAACTGCAATGGAGAATGGCATTATGCTCTGTGTATATACATAA